ATGTCGAAACGTTGTACATTTGCTGTTATGTTAAACTTATATTAAAGTTTTTCTTCATTACCCATTCAAGCCGTCTCCAGCCATTATTAGTCTTAAAGTGGGTTCCTCGTCATCGAAATTGGACTGTACAATTATTCCAAACATGCAAATAAATATTTATAAAAGCCACTGAATAGATAGGATTAAGCTTATCCATTCTGATAAAAGCAGCTTAAAGCAACTTAAAAATTAAATACGTTATTTCTTCAGAGTGAGAACTATTTTAGGCTTAGAAAACCTAAATTCATCAAAATTAATTGCTCAAATATCTTAACTCGGCTTAACTAAAAATATTATTGTGATGTTATTCTTGGACCAAATCAGTCAATAATATTTGGAAAGAAGTTGTAAGATATATATATATATATGAAAGATAATTTATGATTAGAAAAATAGAACGTACTGGTGTATATTAAGCGTCACATATAGGACTTATAATCTTATAGCATTTAATGACGTTATTTAAGTTTCTTGTTACAAGTGTAGTTTGGTGCGTTTGCTGTACTCATAAACAAAAGTTATGATTTGTGAATTATGCCTGGTTAATGATATCAAGTAAGAAGAACGCTATTGTAAAATGACAGACGAATTAAATATATTTATACATAATGTTTCACATTTGAATTCATAAACTGAGGAATGTTGGTATTCTATATTCGTCTTCTTCTCTATAGTCAGTTTCTCGGTGGAACAGCGGTAAGTATACGGATTGCAACGTTAAAATCAGGGGTTCGATTCCCCCCTCGGTGGACACCCTCTGATGTGGCTTTGCTACAAAACACGCACACACGCTCTTTAGACACTCATTCTACAAGAACATTGAAATATGCATAATATTTCTTGAAAGTCAAAATTATTTCTTAAATTATTTTACATCACTGTTTATCAAATAAAGTTAAGAAAAGTCCTAAATATGATAGATTTAACTGAACTAATTATGATAATTTTGCTAAGCTAAATAACTTTATTTGTTGTTAAGCGCAAAGCTGTATAATGGGATATCTGTACTATACCCAGGGATTGAACAACAAATTTTAGCGTTATAAGCCTTCAAGCTTAACGCTGAGCCACCAAAATTGGTTATGTACACATAGAATATTATTATTTTTATACAAAATATCTCGAGTTACTTTATAAAGGATATAATTGTGACCTTGCAAATTATTTTCAGGTCCATTTACATTTTTGTGACTGAAATCGTTTTATTCTTTATCATTATGTATGCATTTTAATTTGCCAATGAAGAATAGCAATATAATGAAAGAAAAAACGATTATTATACGTTACCAAATCCTTTCGGTTTCGGGCTAAAACTGTGACTTCTTGAAATACAATATTTTCGTTTGATTAATGATATAATGAATTTAGTATTTTTATTTTCATTTACTTACTTTACCAAGCGAAAAGAAGAAAAATCACTTTAAAAACATATTTCTGCGTAATTGAATATTCTACGAATTATAACAATGTATGATAATCTTTGAAAGGTTGTTTATATAATTCTTATTTTTCAGTTAGCCTGTAGTTGTAACATAAATACAGTATAATGTCAGGCAATGTGGTTTAAGTTTACTATCAAAAAGGTTAAATTACAGTCTCTAAACATACTTTTTGGGGTTAAACAGCCAATGAATTAAAGCATTATATTGATGAAAATCAGCTGGTAGAAAGATTTGCCTGGAATATCTTAGTGGTTATTGTGTCGTTCTGCGATACTGAATGTCAGAAGTTTGGGCAACGATGTGCCACTAAATAAGCTTTTAGCTTTTGGAGCACGTTATAACAATCAATCCCGTCATGCGGTAAAGAGCACATGTGTGGGCTGTAGATGCAGCTGACCTTTAACCAGCAGTTCTGAGTTAGAGATGGTTTTACCTAACTGACATTCTGTGGCCTAGTCGTCAGCCCATGTGTTACATTAGGTGCCGTTCAAATTGAAAATATCAAGCAAAGAGATCTAATTATTTTACGAGTGTCATGTTTTATTGAATTTGTACATCGTATTTATTAATCATCAAGATGTTTCTGAAATATTTGTCTTGTTTAACAGTACGAAGTTTCTAGCCAGCTACGTAAATATTTTAATTACAATTGACTCATGATATGCACATAGGTGTTATAAAACAAGATCTTGCCGACAGCCATCAACAGCTGACATAGTAATAGAAGTGGCACATATTATTGGCTGCGAGATTGATTGGCTGAGTTACCCGGTGTTGCCCGGTGAAAATTTAGATTTGAAATGTA